AGGCCACACCACGAACAAAGCTAGCTAACTTAGCGTAATTCACGTAGTTGCATGCAAAGTTAAGTAATGAAAATACGTAGTAAGTGAAGACTATGGATATGTGCGGGAGTAAAGGGCGTCAGAAAGGCCATATATTTTACATAACTCAGCGAGATCCTTGGATTTGTTCAGTTAGCTTAGTTCGCGGTGTGAACCGAAGTACGAAAACATCTACTTGAACTACGTGATTTGGTGTAGGTTTTGGTAAAAATAAAATAATAATTCAGAACACAACAGATAACGAATATGTCAGAAACGGTCATGAGCACGAATGAAAAACGGCGAGACAGAGGCGCCACCTGCAGGTTACAAAGTGTATCGTGTGCTCCCTCTGCCTATAGACCTCGTCCTAGCTTGGGTAGGGAACGGTGGTCGTAGACGAGAGAGGACACATTTGATCACTGGACTCTCTGGCTGCCCACACGCTACCTAGAAACTGTCCTACGTTTCATCTAGTACTTAATTTGATCATTAAAATTAATAGAAAGTACAAGTTGTTATTCGATTTCGTATTGATTAAAATATATAGTGTTACTATACTCAAACGATGTCTGACGGTTCAGTTCTAAATCCTGACGGTTCCGACAAGTAGATAATATAAATTGATAAAAACCTGTATTTTTTTTATGAAATCAAGTGACGTGACTATCAAGTCGTGCGTCTGGTGGTAACACGCCTGTCCATAGCAGTTGTAGTACCACTCAGAGCTTTAAATCACAAAGATCTGAGGAGTACTGTTACTGCTCCTGTCACCCTGAGACATAAGTTATCAAGTCTGTGTGCCTGTAATTTCACTCGCAATAATAACGCAATAATAAAACGCAATAATACTTGGCGGCAGAAGTAGGTAAGGTGGCAGTACTTCCATGGACGAATGCTTTCACTACGAGCTCCACTGTTACCGGATAATTAATAGATTCAGGCATTACTTCGCGAAAATCCATGTTAATAAAAATGGAAGTAAATTAATTACTACACCGCGAAACCTGTCAAGGTTAATTCGTGCAAAATACTTGCGCTTGTATTGTGTTTTTTTCATGCATTTAATTTTCCCACCCTTAATGTTCAATATAATGTAATGCGCGTTCAATATAATAAAGCTCTCAGGATGCTGTTGGGAGTACCAAGATGGTACAGTGCATCAGGCTTGTTCGCAGAAGCGCAAGTAGATGGCTTCCAAGCGATAAAATTGTATCGCTTATGACGCGTGTCAGATGTCAATAACATCATCCTAAAAATGTCGCAGGCAGATTTGATTGTCCAATTTTAAAGTACTGGCTCAAATCAAATCTGTTTTTACATACATATATTAAATAAATATCATGTTTATTCAAATTCAAATTCACCCACAGAGAGCCCCCGCTTACAGTGGTGTGCAGTAAGCTCTAAAAAGAGTGACCTTCACCTCCACCGCACATCGAGCAAACCTGCGAGCCAGCATGTTCGCCCTCACCGACAGTGCCCTGCGCTCGCGTTCTATATCCATATTGTCCTTGAGGTCGTCGGCAATATAGTGTCCTAAATATCTGAAATGTGCTACTCTCTTCAATGGAATTTCATTGAGACTTATGGGAAATACATTGTTAGGACTCTTATTACCGGCGACCCCAAAGACCATATACTGAGTCTTTTTGATGTTGTACATCAATCCATGCGAGGCGGCATAATCCTCACAAACCCCAATCAATTTTCTAAGTGCACTGATCGATGGTGCCAGCAGCACCATGTCATCGGCATAACTAATATTATTGAGACATACTCCATCTATATAGCATCAGGTTTATGTGGTGTCTTTGTGTTCTGTGTACTAACCTATTCCAAGTGAAAATGTTAATAACAAATTATATGGGTCTATGATTGAAATAAATAATTCCATTCTAATGTAGATCCACTACACGGAAATATTATTAAATGCTCAGTACTTGGAAGTACTAGAAAAACCATACAAGTACACAAGAAAATAGCAAAAGAGATGGTGAATTATGTTGGACGCCGCCGCAGGACTCAAAAAAAACCGAAAAAGAT